CCTTACGTCCTCTGTGTATGGGCCGATGGAGAGGCTGTGGGATGTCCGTAATTTATGCACGTATAGATGTCTTGTGGCAATTTTTAAACATCCTCCTTATCTATATACTTAAGGTTCTTCCTATTCTTGCTTTGTGAAATGGCTATCAACTGTCAAGACACCTTCTCCAAGGCACTTAAGTCAAAAATGGGTCATTCTGAAAGTGGCTGTACAATGTATTTATATATCACACTTCTTTAACATATACATCTATTTACGGAAACCATAAACAAGGAGAAAAAATTATTGAAGCATTATTTTGATAGAATCGCATTTGACTTGACCGTGGAGGTGAACACATTTTCTTCCCAAAAGGAGTCATGCCTAAAGTGTGCACTATAACCCTTCTTGTAGACTCGGCCCGTAGCACTATCTGCAGCCTTCCTCTGCGCACAGGACCATGTCGTGAAACCAATACACGCTACGGTTATTATGGTCCAATGAAAAAGTGTGTGCGCTTTAATTACGGTGGCTGTGGAGGCAATCGGAATAACTTCTTGACTGAAGAAGAGTGTCAGAAAGCCTGCATCAGCGGTATCTCTGTAAAAATACGTTGTCCCTGTCTGCATGCCTTCTTGAAACAGCGCTTGTCGTTCGAGCCTCTGCATGCAAACATGTGTGTGTCAGTTCGACCATCGCAATCGATGGTGTCGACCGTATGCTCAAGAGGAGGGACGGTGACTGTAGTCAGGTATGGTGAAAGTAGACAAGCAACCCCACTCGTAAAACTTTCCCCGCTTGAACCGGTGATAAGACAAAGTCGAGATGATCGAGCAGGTATCAGGCGTAAGCTGCTTTTTCAAGTGCAGCCAGAAACATCACCTAACTTAGGCTTAAGTGGCAGTGGTCTTTTGCGCTGGTACAACCGCACTATGTACCCTCACTCACCTTAAGTAGGTGTCAAGTTAGGCTCAAGGTAACCAAGGCTGATAATGCTACAACTGTTACTGATATTTCGGATACTACTCACTAGGGATGTAGCTGAGTGATAGTATTGCTGGTACTATTTCTGGCTGTATTATCTGACAGAAATTGACGCTGATTAAAGTCAGCACTGGACGCATACCACCCAAATCTCAACAAGATGTGTAGTAGTACTGGTACTAACAGTGACGCTACCAGTTGTTAGAGGTGCCGCTGATTAAAGCCGACGCTGAGACTCATACCCCTTTGATCCCAGCAGGGAGTGTGAATCTGGGTTTAAACTATTCCAAGTACATGTTTGGGGCCCTGAGCCCAGCAGAGCTTGTCTTGGTTTCCACCCTCTAACCTCTCTGCGCCAAAAGCTGTGTCACATTTTACTAAGCTTGGGCTACGATACGGCTGCTAGAGGTAATATGCCACTTCTAAGAGTGCTAATTCTAGTAATCATACTTACTAAGATCAGCGGATAGTACATTCTAGTAATATATTCCTATAATTAGATCAATAGCTGACATGCATCCTATTTTGCAACAAGCAAAAGAGATGGGAATATGAGCTTACGCACGTCCTGAACTTCATCCGGGCTGATTTGTAAGACACCCGGCGAGCGTTCACGTCCGCGGGGCAGGTACGGCTGTCATCATTGTTGTGGTCCAATGAAAAAGTGTGTGTGCTTTAATTACGGTGTCTGTGGAGGCCAC